GCCACGTCGCACCGCGGCATCAGCTCCAGACGAAGCGCCCGGCCCCGCCGAAGCCAGAGGGCGCCCACTCCAGCGCCAATGAGCGTCTCGCTCGACGGGTCAACGATCGCGCCGATGTCCAGGTCGGCCACGGGCTCGGCCAGCGCCCAGACATGCCCTTCAGGAGGGGGCGTGGGCGAGCCCGTGGCAGCGTCAGCCAGAGCGCCGCCCACTCCGCCGTCGGTGACCGGCGGCGCCTGCTTCCCGCGGAGGCGATGCGGGGGCCGCGTCGGCGCGGCCCACGGGAAGACGCCCCCGCCATCCAGCAGCCTACCCGAGGCGAGCTCCACCTGGGCGGGCCCATCGGCAGCAACCTGCCCGCGGGCCTCCATCGCTAGTCGGCACTCGTCGGCCAACTCCACGAGCCTGGCGAGGGACGGCTGCTCGCGGAAGCTGTAGAGCTTCCGACCGTCAGCAGGCGGGGCCCCACCGCTGGCGATGCGCTCACCACCCGAGGGGCCATCTGCGGGCGAGGCCCCCGAGAGCAGCTCCTCCCACAGGTCACCATCTGGCGAGAGGACCCAGTAGAGGTGCGGGTCCACCAACTCGCCATCCTCGACTCGCCGCGAGGGCCAAACCACGACGCGCTCATGGTCCATGACGTCGCCGTCGTAGCTCACCCGCGCGCGAGCGCCGCTGGGAAGATCAGCGCACCACCCCTCCCCCGCGGGCAACGGGGGCAGGGCCGCCAGGCGTCCGCGCCGGCGCGACATTGTGCCTAGGCCACTGGCGGCGCGGGCAGCAGTTGAAGCACCTATCCGCCAACGCGATCCACACCGGCGAGAGGAGGCTCACCAGCAGATGCAGTGCCAGCGCCTCGGCGCTCAGCCCGTCGCCGACCTCGGGGCAGACGCAGCCGTCGCCTCCCGGCGGCGGCGGAGGCGGCGGTGACGCGGCCGCACACTCCGAGAACGCACGAGCCGCGGCCTCGGCGCGCAGCGCCGCCGACGAAGCCTCGACGCAAGCGCCGGCGACCCCGTCGAGCCACAAGGGAACCTCGCTCGGCGGCTCGGGCCCGGGCTGTGGTGGACTCGCCCGCCAGCCAAGACCAGCGATCAGCGCCACGCACAAGGCCGGCAGCGCCGCGGGCACGCCAGAGGCGAGCATGGGGCGCGCCGCCCGTCCTGAAGCCGAAGACAGGCTATGGAGGGGAGAGCGGGGACAAGTGAGAGAAAGCATCCCGATGTTTAAACTTCCTTGGATCGTTTAGCAAGTACTGACATCACCGAATTCAAAAAGCCCAAGCTCAAACCGTTCAAGAACATATATGGCCCCATTTTGGCCTTCTGAGGGGGCAGCGCTAATTAAAGCTCCCCTCTTCTTTCAAGCCAAAATCATTGATTTTACGAAGGTTTTGGCCCCATTTTGCCTTTCTGAGGGGGCAGCGCTAATTAAAGCTCCCCTCTTCTTTGATCGATTTCCTCCAAGATGGCCCCAAGAAGCGTCCAGGACGCACCAAGAGGCCCCAAGATGGCCCCAAGAGGCTCCCAGGAGGCCCCCAAGAGGCCTCCAAGAGGCCCCCAAGATGCCCCCAAGAGGCCCCCAAGAGGCCCCAAGAGGCTCCCCCGAGGCACCCAAGACGCTCCTGGAAGCCCCTGGGGCCGCCAAGAGGCCCCCAAGACGCCCCAAACGGCCTCCAAGAGGCTCCCAAGAGGCCCGAAGAGGCTCCCCCAAGGCACCCAAGACGCTCCTAGAAGCCCCTGGGGCCGCCAAGAGGCCCCCAAGACGCCCCAAAAGGGGACGAGGTGCCCGAACGCCTCACGCCACGAGGAGCCCGAACGACTCACACCAGGACGAGGGGCCCGAACGACTCACACCACGAAGAGCCCGAACGACTCACACCAGAAGGAGGGGCCCGAACGACTCACACCAGGACGAGGCGCCCGAACGACTCACACCACGAGGAGCCCGAACGACTCACACCACGACGAGGGCCCCGAACGACTCACACCACGAGGAGCCCGAACGAGTCACACCAGGAGGAGGGGCCCGAACGACTCACACCAGGACGAGGGGCCCGAACAACTCACACCACGAGAAGCCCGAACGACTCACACCAGGACGAAGAGCCCGAACGACTCACACCACGAAGAGCCCGAACGACTCACACCAGGAAGAAGGGCCCGAACGACTCACACCAGGACGAGAAACCCCAAACGACTCAAACCACGAGGAGCGCTTTCTCTCCCTCCTCCTCCGCCTCGTCCTTCTCCCGCTCCCCCCACAAGGAGGATGTACAAGGAGGCGGGAGGAAGGAGGAACAAGGGAGATATGCGGGGCCAAGCGGACACACGCCTGAAAAACACGACTGTCGGCATGCTTCGCAAGAGTTGCTATTGTGAGAAGGGCTGGTGGGGATACGCGAAGCGTAAAGAATTCAACATCTCTATCTTATGAGGATGTCTCGAGCGAGTGCTCTACTTTTAAACAAAAGAGGTCATCCGTTGCAAGCAGAAACGGTAGCACCCTGGATCGTCGGCACTGGCCGGAGACCACTACAACAAAAACCAGCTGTATGCAGCAGATTTCGTACCCACCCTTTCCCGCTCCCCCTTTCGCCGATCCACGGCCAGGGGTAATCTTAACCTGTGCGCCAACTGTACGTGTCTACTTCTGGACCCCGCTGCAGCCGGACCAAGAATACCAAAGCCGCTGCTCCCCAGACCACTCGCGGGGCGAACTCTCACCAGAATTTCAAAGCGAATCCACCTGTGGCGTCGAGGGCCCCAGAAGAGGCCCAGAAAAAAACTGAAGGGGAGAGGAATCGCTAAACGTTAGTTGGTTATTTCCCCTCCAAACCTCCTCATCACCCGGAGGGTGGTCGTATAGGTATGTGCGCTGCAATCTAAGTGGTGCAATCAATCACTTGCTCAACTTGAAGCTGTCCTCTCCACCGCTCGTGCACACATCCACCCTCCCACCCGCAACTTGGTCGCAAGACCTCTTAGGACCGTGACGGTAGGTACCGAATGGCACTTGGCAACGACACTGACGCCGACGACGACAGCGACAACGACGACGACGACGCCGACGCCGACGCCGACGACGATGACGACGACGACGATGACAACGACACCGACGACGCCTCCAACGACTTCGACGACGACGCCGACGACAAAGACGACACCGACGACAAAGACGACGACGAAGCCGACGACGACGACGACGATGACAACGCCGACGACGACGACGACGACGCCGACGACGACGACGCGAACGACGAAGAAGGAGGGAGGACGGCAACGCCGACGACGACAACGACGAGGGAGGCGGGAGAACGACGACGACGACGACGTCGACGACGACGACGACGGCGACGATATGGGAGGGACGACGACGAGACGCCGACGACGGACGAAATCGATTGTGACATGGACAGTGAGATCAATAGTGAGACCGATAGCGAGATCGATCGTGAGATCGATAGTGAGATCGATAGTGAGATGAATAGTGATATCGATTGTGAGATCGAGTGATGTCGATAGGGAGATCGTTAGTGGGATCGATAGCGAGATCCAGAGTGAGATCGACAGTGCAATCGATCGAGTGATATCGATAGTGAGATCGATCGAGTGAGATCGATAGTAGGATCGATGGTCCCATCGATCGTGAGACCGATAATGACATCGCTTGTGAGATCGATGGAGAGATCGATAGTGAGATCGATGGTGAGATCGATCGTGAGACCGACAACGATATCGCTTGTGAGATCGATAGAGAGATCGGTAGTGAGATATATTGAGTGGGATCGATAGTGAGATCGATAGTGAGATCGATCGAGTGAGATCGATAGTGCGATCAAGGCGCCCAAGAGCGAAGGATGACGTAAACAACCCGACACCAAGGCTTCCAAGAGCGAGCGGCAACGCAACAATCACCACAGTTGCCCATTGCTGGCCCCCCTCCCCCCCCCCACCCCCCTATCACCCGCAGGGTGGTAGTATAGGTATTGAAAAACCTATGGTTTTCTGAAAATTTCGCAAGAGCGCGCGCATAAGCTTGTTTAGAAAATCAGTGTTGCGAAACCATGTGTTTTTGTATGTTGTGTGGAAACTCGATTTTGAAATCCTTCCGAAGCCGAAAGTTTTTGAAGGATTTCCGCATGCGCGCGCGACGACGCGCACGTGTGCACTTCGTCCCATTTTGCTGCAAGGGATTATTGAAAACTTCTGATTTTTGATAAACGAGTGTGCGCGCATAGTATTTTTCGCAGAGGATGGCGGGGGGGGTCGATACCGGCCTGGCTGGGATAGGATGAATTCACAGGTAGGATGGACATTAGGTCAGAATCCTGTGTCTTGCATCGGTTCCCGGGGGATCTTTAACCCCAGGGGGGAGGGTGGTAGAACCTATTCTCTTTTGAGACAGGAGAATATACGTCCTGCAGTACTGTTGCACAATCTATGTGGTTGTGCAATATATACGGTGCAATGCATGCTCTGCAAACTACATGGTGACATAGATCTGGCTCTCCAATATATGTTGTGCAAGCAATGAGGAGCAATCTATGTTGTCCTGTATGTGATGCAATCCATGTTGTGAGCGATCACGAAGCGCGCCGCAGGCGCGAATTCTTTTCCTGCTATCTGCGTGGTGCAATCCAACGGCTGCGACAAGGCGGCGACGCGTCGGCGACGGGGCGGAGACGGCAGGAACATAGCCGCACGACAGCCTACACGGCCCAAACGACGGGCGGCGACGAGCGGTGACGGGGCGGCGACGGCCAGAACATAGCCGACAGAGCCGACAAACACCCCACACGGATGGGCGGCGACGAGGCGGCGACGGGGCGGCGACGGCCAGGACATAGCCGCCAGACCGCCCACACGGCCCAGTTCCGTGGAAGAGAAAAAAGACACCCCAAGTGCAAGCACTGCTTCTCGCTACAAGGCAGGGCGAGGAGAAGGCGGAGGGTTCAAGGTGCAGGCCAGAGGGCGGAGGAGAAGGAATGTCTACGCCGCCCTCCCCCCCTCCCTCCGCTCCCCAGCCTCCCGCCCAGGGCGCCTCTAGCGTCCCAGGGCGGCACAAAGACCTCTGCCAGGCTTCCCCGGCGAGTACTCCGCCCCTGCGTCAGCTGGGCTCCGCCACCTCGGAAGTCCCAGAAGCCGCGCAGCACCTCCAGAGTCGGAGGCCAACGAGACTGGCAACAGCGGCACCGTGCAGCAGCGGCGGTAGAAGCAGCAGCGGCACAAGCAGCAACGGAAGCGGCGGCAGTAGCAGCGGCAGTGGTCACAGCAACGGCATAGCCACCAGCACTAGGCCCATCAGAACCACCACGCTACGAGTGAGGTAACCTCTTCGAGGACTGCCGCATGGCACATTCCGCTTTGATGGCAGTCGACACTCGGCTATCGGTCCATCCAAACATGAACCCAGCACGACCCCAATTAGGCTCAACAGTTGTGCTGGAGACAATATGAAGGCAAGCTGAGCACAACCTGCATGTAATACCGACGACAAGCTGAAACTTGTAACAAGCTGGAACCAACACAAGCGGGCTACAGCATCTGAAGCCTATGACAAACCTGAGCCATTATAAGCCTAAACCAACACAAGCCTAAACCAACACAAGCCTAAAACAAGCCTAAACCAACACAAGCCTAAATCAACACAGGCCCAAACCAACACCAAACATAAGCCAGCCTATAACAAGCCTAAACAATAAAGCAGGCCTTATAGAACGCCATCACGGGCTACGGCGCTGCGCTGCTTTCCGGGAGAACCCTGAAGAGCCCCCTCGAGGAGCCCAAAGGACCCCGACATCCCCGAGAACCTAAAGAGGCGCGAGGCTGATTCAAGACCCCGTGTTCCTTGGGTCGCTGGGCCGCTGGCCTCTTCTGGATGGCCCCAGGGCAGGCTACAGCAGCACGATGCCTGTACCGTGGCTGCAGCTGGAGGAAGAGAGCAGGGCCGCCGCCGCGCGGATGGCATCGACAGCGCGCGAACGCGGGCACAGGCGGCCTGCGCAAATCGATCCGAGCGCCCCGCAGGCTACGCACATGCACACAGTTGTTGGCGTCGCGGCCATGCGCGCGGCGGCGCGGCGGAGAACAGGTCGATGAGGCTCACGCAACGGGGAGACGCTGCATCCACCCATTTGGGTTGACAGCGACACTCACGACCGGGCTGCCGTGAGGAAAGAAAAGACGGGGGAAAGGGGGAAAGGAGAGAAAAGGAAGACGGGGAAGCCGAAGCAGCACGGCAGTGCCAAGCCAAAGCAGCAAGCGGGGCGGAACATGGAAGCGACAACGGCAGCCAATCAGGACGGAGAAGAAAGACAGCGCTGGAACCTGGGCCAACCAGTAGACCGGGAGCGACAACGACGCCCAGGCTAGCGGCCCGAGGGAAGAGAAGGGTAAGGTATAGGCGCACAACCAGCAAACTATGAAAACTGTTCGCAACTGGCGGCCCGCGCACCCTAGCCAAGAGAACATGGTGCCCTGAGGCTCGGTACGACCGTCGTCGTCCTCGGAGTCGCTGTCTTCCTCGATCTCCTTGGGGTGCGCCTCCACAACACGGCTTCCCCGACCGCTATCCGAAGAGAGCATCTTAATGTCACGGCATGTGCGTGCCCCGTTCATATGTACCACAAGGCTGCAACACGTGCAATATTATCAAAAAGACATCCCAGGACGTGTCGCACACACACACACACACACACACACACACACACACACACACGCACACACACACACACACACACGCACGCACGCACGCACGCACACACACACACACACACACACATACACACACACACACACACACACACACACACGCACACACATACACACATACACACACACACACACACACACTTTGGCGTCGCAGCGCCGCGTGCGGCGATGGGGCGTAGAAAGTCGAGGGCAAGCGTCGGAACGCGGGCGTCTTCGCCTGGCCCAGCTCTCAGAGACCACTCACGGCAGCGCAACTGGCGGCAGCCATAGCCATCCGGGCCTGGATGGCGGAGAGGGGCAATGAGCGGACGAAACTCCGGCGAAGGTGGGAAGGTGGCATGAGCCGACCAGGAGTGGGGGGCGGGGAGAGCCAGCAACCGAGAGTGGACCGACAAAGGAGGGCGCCGGGAACGACGGCGGAGCGCGAGCTGAAGGCGGCGGAGCCACACAAGTCCGCGGGCCCAAGGAGCCACGAAAGCCGGCAGGGCTGGGCGGCGTGCCAGAAACGGCGGCGGCCGAGGGGCGGTTCCTGAGGGAGCGGCACGGGCCGACCCCCATAAGAGGCCGAGGCGAAGGGGGGAAAAGCACACACACACACACACGCACACACACACACGCACACACACGCACACACACACATAACAGTACGCGCGTCGAAGCACTAATCCATTAAACACTACTCCCAAACACGCGAGCACGAGCAACGATTGGTATAGCAAAGCATAACACGGCATGGTATAGTGTAACCTGTATAAGCATCGTTACATGCCAAACCAAAAACGGCGATGCATAGCACTGCACATCACATCATACGATTGCAGCATACCGTTGCACTCTTCAAAATGGCAAAACATGCCATATGATTGCATACAGTGGCATGGCATTGCATTGCATAGCATGGCGCGGCATAGTGTTGGATAGCAGATAGTCGCATGGCATGTGATTGCATCGCAAAGCATCGCATGGCACAGCATTTAATTACACTGCAATGCATGTAAGATTGGCAAACCTACTTCCACATGTGGCAAGACATTCCAGTTGAGTCACAGCTGTATGCGTGCACATCCACTCCGATTGCAAGTCACAAACCCAGACAGGGCTCCAGGCGGGCTCAATTACAACGTGCAAAGCCCAGGAGCCCCAAACGATCCAGAAAACCGTGTGATGCCTCGGTCTTGATACGACCCGGCTGCGCAAGTACGACTGCGCTACCTGGCGAACCGAGCCCTCGAGGTCTCCTGGCTGCAGAACGCCTTGCTTCGTCGGCCCTCTCGTTCTCGCAGAACTGGTTAAACCGCTGGGGCACCACCAGAGGCGCGGGCTTTCCGGCGAGCGCTCTGCAGCGCAAGACATCAGGATGCCCCGCTGCCGAAAACGGTGCCCATCCGTCACCACCGCGCTGGCAGCCCAGCGAGCACAAAATCCTCATCGATCCGCACCAGCAGCTCAGCAGCGACGCACAGAAAGCAGTGCAGAAAACGTCAAGAGGGCAGATGTTCTGCGGGCGCTATTGCACTGATATGGGCAACTCCCTTCCGTTGAGTACAGGATGCGAGCTCGTATGTGCATGCATACACACGCATGTATTGTGCATACGACGCGTAACCGTAGAAACACCTGCGTGTACACATATATGTGTATATACAGAGACGCATGCAACGGTACGCGCATCATGTGTACATCTAATGTGTGTTAGCCAGCGTGGATCCCAAACATGGATTTCTTGCATCATATGCGGCGCAGTCTACGTGGTGCAACCAATGTGGTGCAATCTATACGTTTCAATACATGTGGTGCAATACATGCGGTGCAAACCAACGAAAAGCAATGCAAAGAAATGCACAGAAATACAAAGCAATGCAACGCAATGCAACAGAACGCAACTCAATGTAAAACAATGCAACACAGTGAAAAGCAATGCAAAACAAAGCATTGCAAGGCAACGCAAAGCAACGCCGAGCAATGCAAAGCGATGCAAAGCAATGCGCAACAACGCAAAGCAATACAAAGCAATGGAAGCAATGCAGAACAACGCAAAGCAACGCAGAGCAGCGCAAAGCAAGGCAGAGTGCGAGCCTCGCACGGTCACAATCGTGACCCAAATGCTGCGGCGACGGACAGCGGCGACGGGCGTGGACGGTCGGGCACATGCCCGCTGGACCGGCGCACAGAGGAGGAGGAGGAGGAGGAGAGGAGGAGGAGGAGAAGAGGAGGAGGAGAAGAGGAGGAGAAGAGGAGGAGAAGAGGAGGAGCCAGTTGCGAGCCTCGCACAAACAAAATCGCAACCAGCATAGTGCAGCGACGGGCGTGGGCGACGGGCGGCAACGGGCGGCCACAAGCTGGCCGAACCAGCACAAAGGCCCAGCTCCTGTGAGAACTGAGATCCCCCAAGTGCAAACACTTTTTGGGGAATACATATATATATATATATATACAAACATACATACATACACACATATAGTCATGTATACACACATGTACGTAGACATATACATACACATATATATATATATATAAATATATATGTATATACATATATGTAGCGTACATGTGTACAAAAAATATACATCTATCTCTATATATATACACTCTTACAGTCACACACACATATATATATATATATATATACACTGCCCCCCCCAGGCCCCGGGTCCCACACCTCCCCGCCACATCTCGGGAACGCTACCGGTACCGCTCCCCCAGCCTTTCCAGGGAGCCTCCACAGCGCTCCAGGAGGGCCCAAGACGCCGCCCAGGAGCCCCCAGAATGCGAAGGGGGCCCAAGACGCTCCCAAGCAGCAGCCCAAGTCAGCCGTCCGACGGCTCTCGAGGCTTCAAGGTGGCCTCCAAGAGACCCCAAGAGAGGTCCGAGAGGCGTCCCGGGACGGCCCGAAGAGGCCAAAACCGTCGATGTGCATTGTTTTTGTCCATGTTTTTGGCTTCTCGCGTTTTCGAGCTTCCAACGCTGCAAGAACGCCGAATAGCTGCCCAAGACCGCCCCAAGACCACCCAAGACACCCTCAGGACGGCCCCAGGACGGACCAAGAAGGCTCCAAGACTGCCGGACAGCCCCAGACCACCCCAGAACAGGCCCAAAATGGGCCCAAGAGCGGGAGCAGGAGGCTTCCAGAGACCTCCGAGAAGCCTCCGGGACCCCCCACAGGCCCCCAACACACCCCTGATCCCTGAGAGGCCCCAACAAACCCCGACGAGGCTGCAAGAACAGCCCAAGAGAGCTGCGAGAGCAGTCCCGAGAGAGCCCAAAGAGGGTAAAATCGTTGATTTCCAATGGTTTTTCTAATGTTTTTCGCCTTCTCACGTTTTCCCGCTTCCAACCCTTGAAGATAGAGGATTTCGAAGAGAGAAAAAAAGGAATGCCAAGAATTCCCTCTTCATTTTTTTCAAAGCGGACTTCCTGGGGGCCCCAGGACGCCCAAGCACAGCGCCGCGGCTCTTATCCTGACACCAAGCACAGCGCCGGGGGGCCCCCCGGACGCCCAAGCACAGCGCCCGAAGCACAAACCAACAGCGCCGCGGCTCTTTTTCGGACACCGGGACGGGCGAGAGCGAGCCTCTTCCGGTCGAAGCTAAGCGGGCCGCGCACAGCTTTATTCGACAGAGGGAGGAGAACAGAAGGAGGGGCCTCACGTCAAGACAAGGGGCCGAAACAGGCAAGAGAGCAAGGAGCCGAGGAGCGAGGGGGGGAGGGGGGAGAGGGACGGAGGACGACAGGAAAGAACAGACCGGGCCGACAGACGGACGGACGGGGGACAGGGAGGGGGAGCCAAGCAGAAGGGAGAGGGAGAATACACACCCCACAAGGACAAGGAAGCACAAGGGCAAGGGGGGACACGGGGAGGGAGAGGGGGATAGGAGAGGAGAGGAGAGGGAAGAAGGAGGAGCCGGAGGCCGGGGCCAAGGCAAGAAAGGCAGAAGGCGGGCCGAGAAGCACACCGGTGTGTCAGCGCATCAAAAAATTGCTGGCTTCCCTCTCGACGGGGCCGAGACTGCACAGAGGCGGAGGAGGAGGCGGGGGGGGCGACAAAAGCTTGAAATCCCACAATTCCTTTTTCTCCAAGTTCGGCCCCCGGTCTACTCTTGGACAACAAACCACAATTCAGACCCCCCTCACCTCCCAACAAAAAAAACAGGAAGCTTTGAGGGCCCCAAATCGTTGACTACCTAAAAGAACTTAATGAATTCTGCATTTCCGCACTTCCCCTTCTATACGGTTCCGAGGCTTGCGCAGGGCCTCCAAGGGAGTCCCTGGAGTCAAGAAGCGATCACAATGAGATGCCATGAGTTAGCCAATCAAGCATAGCTGAAACTTGAGCGCGCGCGAAGCACGCGCGATGGTTCTAGTAAGTGTATATGCACATATAAATGCAGATACCTTTGCATGTACACATATATGTATGTAGCGCGTGAATATATATATATATATAGAGAGAGAGAGAGAGACGTACAAAAATATATGAATATATAAGAGCCGACACACACACATGTGTGTATGTATATATAAATGCGTTACCACGCACGCGCTTCGCGCGAGCTTAGGTTCCGAACTCGCCAATGCAGACCACTGGCATGTTGATGAAACCTCGTATGCAGCATTGGCAAATCAGGATGACAAGCACGACGCCTGGGGGCAAAGTTTTGATGACTTAACCACGAATGTCCAAAGATTACGCCGCTACGCCCTGTCTCGCACGCAGAAGCGCAAACGTCCCTTTCGTGGGCACGCGTGCAATTACTCGCTCGCTTTCGTGTGGCACTCTTCTCAAGTGGAAAAACGCGGCTACGACACGCGGGATGTACATGGCAATCATCAGAAAAGAGTTCAGAAGGGGAAGTAGAGGACAGGAAGAAAGAAAAACTTTCCACAAAAGGCAAAATGTTGGCGAAAAGTACCACCTGCATTGAAACATGACAGATCCCATCCCAATAATGCCATCATGCTGGCCTGCTAAAGCAAAACAAAGATCAACAAAGAAACGGCCCTGAAATCAGCCGGCCTTGCTCGACTTCCTACAGATCAGCTGCGAAACGTCCCGCATGAGGGAGCCCATCCCAAAACGGCGTGGCACAGCCTCCTGCGAAACTCGGCAAGCGTGCGATCGCGAGCACTGCCATGTTCGATTTGGATCGTGCTCTGTCACGCGGAACGGCCTGCCCCAAAACAACGGTCGGACTCTGCAGGCTGGAAACTCGCGCGCAAAGCGACCCGCATTGCCAGTCCCAAAGTGCAAACATGCTGGTATTTGAAGCAAAACATCATGTCAGAAAAACAGCCGGCGAAATCTGCTGGCCTTGTTCGATCTACTACAGATCAACAGCGAAATGTCCCGAATGAAGGAGCCCATCCCAAAACAGCGTCGCACAAACTCCTGCGAGAATCGGCAAGCGCAAGAGCGAGATCACTGCCACGCACGGTTGAGAGCGCGCTCTGTCACGCGGAGCGGCCTGCTCCCAAAAACAAGACGATGCTGCAAGCAAAAATGCCATGTGCAAAGCGACCAGCGTTGAAGACCCGAGGGAACCAATCCGAAGAATGCAATCATGCCGGCCTCTGAGAGGGCGCCAGGGGGCCACAGTCATTGTTCCGTCGGGTTTTGGGACTCCTCCTCGTCCTTCTTCGGGCCTCTTGGGCGGTCTCGGGCCCCTCGTGGGCTGTCTGGGGGCGCCGTTGGAAGCGCATCGGGCCGTCCGCGGGCGATCCCAAACACCGCGGCGGGGACCCCGAGGCGCGGCCGAGGGCGGCTCTCCGGCGGCCCGCTGCGCCCCCGCAGAGCTTCCAAGGCGCCCCCCTCCTCGTCGGGCAGCGGAGGGGATCGCACGCGCGGGGGCTGCACGCCCTCCCCACAAGCAGGCCTCTCGGAGCGGCACGGCGGACGACAGCGCGGGCACGAAAGCCAGGAGGAGGAGGAGGAGGAGGCGGAGGCGGAGGCGGAGGCGGAGGCGGAGGCGGAGGCGGAGGCGGAGGAGGAGGGTGAACTGATGAAACCGCCGCTCTTGCAGCGCCGCTTGAAACGACAAGGCGCAGGCTGGGCGACAGCGGGCAGCAGCTGGCCGTCCTCCCTTCCATCGGCCGACGCTTCGTCAGGCGGCTCACTCACTTCCACGACCGTGCCGGCGGAGACGAGGGCACGGCTACAACCCAGGACTGGTGACTGGACTCCCTCCTTGCGTCGGCGGGCTCGTCGATGCGGTGCACGGGCGCAGCTGGAGCTGACGCGGCAGCCTGGCAGGAGAAGACGGTCCGCCCCGCTGCGGCTGGCGTGGCCCAGGCGCCCCCGGGGCGGCGCGTAAAGGCCTCGGCAAGAAGGAGGAGCCCGCCGGGAGCACAGCGCAGCGCGGCCCGGGCGCCCGACGCGGCCCGGGGGCGGCCGGGGGATGCAGCGCGCGGGGCCCCGACATGGCCGGGGCACTCGAGGCAAGGTGGACTGTGCCAGTGGCAGCGGGAGAGGAGGGAGGGGAAGAGGAGGGGAGCGAGGACGGGGCGGAGGAAGGAGGAGGGCGGGCGGGGAAGGAGGGAGAAGAGAGCGAGGGGGGAGAGAGGGAGATCCCTCCCTGCCCCACCGTGTGCAGGTGGGCCATGGACTCCTCCGAATGGAGAACCTGGAGCTTTCCACCGTGCGTGATGCGCAGCGACGTCGGATTGACGGCCTTGTAGAATTCCTGGGCCCTTCCCTCCCACACTGTTTCCCCAACCACGACTTCCCAAGCCTCCCCATCCGTGAGACCCCTCATTCATCACCCTCCCATCCTCCTCAATCTGTCACTACGAAGCTACTGTCTTCCGTGCCTCCAGCACGCAGTGGACTGTCCCAAGGCTCATGCGCTGGCCTCGAGAGGAAAAAAATGGCCAGAGATTCTCCTGGGCCCTGACACCCCGGATTTCCGAGCGCTGCCGGGCGCCTTCTGGGCGAGCCGTCCCCCCGGCGCTCGGCTCGCCGGCACAGTGGCAATGGTAAACACGAAGAGGCGTAGGGCACGTGACTTTGCCATCGCTCACCGCGCATGCTGCGTGGGGGCTTGCGACCCCGCGGACTCCTGAGTGCCGCCTGAGACCACTCGAGCAAGAGCCTTCTAAACGCCGCTTCCCGTCATCCGCCACGTGCCCTTGAGGCACGATTTGGAGTGTCCTCAGGTCCTTGGCCGATTCCATCAAGCCTCAGTCCTCAATCCTATCTTTCTTTCGCTCGTTGCTAGGCCTCGCAAGACCGCAGTATAGAATCCGTGTGACCAGCCAGAGAGTGCATGCATGCATGCAGGACCACATCGCGTTATGATAACGTGGATTCTCTTAGAGGCCTGGACCCGAAATTGTCAAATCTCTTTGGGTTACTGGCGTGCCCCCTGGGGTCAGGGGCGTCTTGTCGCATGACTTTGTCAGCACCAAAAGGACCCCCAGACGGGCCCAAAGGGACCCAAGAGGCCCCAAAGACGGTACAAGGGGGACCCGAGTCGCCGCACAATCGGTCCAAGTCGCCCAAGACAGTCTCAAGGCGGCCCAAGATGCCCCCAAGACGCGCAAGAGGCCTCCAAGAGGCTTCCAAAGAGGACCCCACGAGGCAAAAACCAATGATTCCCCAATCAGAGCTTGCCTCTGTAGGGGTCCTAGCGGATTCATATGTTTAAATTAGGTTTGCCGCCGATTTTCACCGCACGCCCGGGTGCCCGGATGCCCGGGGGTGCCCGGGTGCCTGGGTGCCCGGGTGCCCGGGCGTGCCCGGGGGTGCCCGGGTGCCTGGGGGTGCCCTATAGCCCTATAGCCCTATAGCCCTATAGCCCGATAGCCCAATAGCCCTATAGCCCTATAGCCCTACAGCTCTATAGCTCTACAGCCCTATAGCCCTATAGCTCAATAGCCCTATAGCCCTATAGCCGTATAGCCCTATAGCTCTATAGCCCTATACCCCTATACCCTATAGCCCTATACCCTATAGCCCTGTGGCTCTATTACCCTATAGCTCAATAACCCTATAGCCCATATAGCCCTATAGCCCTACAGCCCTAAAAAGATTATGGTTGGGTTTTTTCTCTGGTATCATTTGTCTTAGGTTGTTGAAGGATTTGGGCGTTACCGCATTTGTTCTGCTTCCCTACGCTCCAAGACAGCTTAAGAGGCCCCCAAGATCGCCCCAAGACGGCAGAGGCCTCCAAGAGGGCCCCAAGACCGCCACAGAGGGCCCGAAGACGGCCCCACAGGCCTCCAAGACGGCCCAAGGGGCCCCAAGACGGCTCCAAGAAGGGGCCCAGACGGGGAACCCGAACGGACATTTCGAGCCCTCGGCCCCGAGAAGACCCCAGCCCCATTAGGCCCCCAAGAGGACCCCAGAGGCCTTCAGGGCCCCCAGGAAGCCCCAAGAGGCCTCCAAGAGGCTCCCAAGAGGCCCCCACGAGGCCCCAAAACTGCCTCCGAGAGGCTGGCGAGAGCGCTCCGAAGAGACCCCAAGAAGCATCCCTCAGGGCTCTGCACCACAATCCAGGCACAGTGAAAGGATGGGCCAGAAGCCATTAGACCATTAGATAGGAAGAGGAGGGGAAAGATAAAGGGACAAAGCGAGGAAGGGAGGAAGAAACGAAAAGGTAGGGGGGGGGGCGCAAGAAAGGGAGGATCGAGGGCAAAGAGAATTTAGCAGGAGGGAACAGCACACACCCATACCCATAGGGGGGTCTTTGGGAGGAGGACTGGCTACGGGTGTGGGTGCGGGTTGTCGGACCCTGGGGAACGCTCCCGTTCGAGCGGGGACCCCCATCCCACAACACGCACCTGTAGCCCTCTCCGACCCCCCCCATGGGTATGGGTGTGTGTGTTGTTGTTGGTTCGTCAATGTAGCAGGAGGGACAGGAAGGAGGAGCAGTAGCCTTGGCAAGCGGACCCTGCTGCGCGAGCCGGCCCAATCGGGCGGGGGCGGGCGGACCCCGACGGGCGGGTCGGGCGAGCGGGGGAACCGAGGCCGGCGGGGGAGGCTCCCCCGCGGGGTCGGGCCGGCGCGGCGCGAGGGCGCGAGGGCGCGCAGGCAGTCGCGCGCTCCGCGCGCCGTGAGGTGCGGTGCGCGAAGTGTCGCAGGCCTAATGCAGGGGGGGGGGCCTCCACAGGGGGAAGGTGGTCCTAAGCACGCGCAGGGCCCGACCCGGACAGGGAGGCCAGCGCGGGCGGACCCCGGCGGGCGGGGCGGGCGGGCCCTAACGTTGGAGGCCTGGGAATGGGCACCAACACCAACACAGGGGGGGGGGCCTCTACAGGGGGGGAGATGGTCCTAAGTTCCGGTGCCGGTGGTCGTCTTTCGGCCACCGAGGAAGCCCGAAGATTACCGCCATCACCGAGATCGGGATCTTCTTCCCTCGGTGGAGGCACACCGCCGATACTGGTGTTGGTGTCAACCTCTAGGCCTCCGATCGCAGGCCTGGAGGTTGACACCAACACCAAATTCGGCGGTGTGCCTCCACCGAGGGAAGAAGATCCCGATCTCGGCGATGGTGGTAATACTATGGCTTCCAAGGTGGCCGAAATACTACCACCAGCACCGAAATCTAGGATCGTCTTCCCCCTGTGGAGGCAACCCCGCTGAGATGGTGGTGGTGCCCATTTCCAGGCCTCCAAGTAGGGAGTCGAATTCTATACACCGACGCTGCCTCCGGCCCTTCATTCGAATGTGCACAGGAGAGCGGATCCTGGTGTATACGGGACCCTGGTGTATACATTATTCGTTGGCTCCTCGGGACGTCGGGGGAAAAAAAGTACACACCTCACCACCCCAGCGTCGTCCCCGACCCTCGAAAAGTCCTGGGATTGAAAAACAGCCCGCCACTGGTAAGGCATATGTTCCGGTCTGCGACCAAGGGCGGGTCGGGCGGGCGGACCCCGGCGGGCGGGTCGTGCGGGACGCAGAGGCGGGCAGGCGGGCCTCCGGGCAGGCGGACGAGCGGACCCTGGCGGGCGGAGCGGGCGGGAGGGCCCCGCCCGGGGCGGGTCGGGAGGGCGAGCCCAAAGGGGGCGGGTCGGGCGCGCGGGATGCGGGCGCGAGCTTCGCGAGGAGGGGAGAACTCTCGGGCGAGAGAGGCCGAGTCCCTGAGGAGTTTGTTTTTTTATTGGGGGGGGCAACGCCCGTTACGAGGGGGGGGGTCCGGCCCCAAGTTGGGGGCAATGGTAACGCGCGGCGGGGCCCTCGCACGGGCCCTGGTACTTATTGCCAACACAAATGTCGGCACGGTAGGCTTCGTCGTCTCTGTACACCGCGATGCTTTTGCACACCACAACTGCGGCAGAAATGGTATGTGTGCACCACGGCGACTGAGCACATCATGACAGGCGGGTGCACCGCAGCGCCCTTGTACATTTCACTGTTGGTGCACATCACGGCGCCCGCGTGCACCACAGCTGCTGTTTCAACGCCCCGTGTTTGCACCAGAATGCCAGCGTACACCACAAAGCTTGTGTACACCTGCAAGGTACCGGCGGAGCGAAAGTCCAGAAGATCGCTCGGGGCCCAACCGCGGCCCTTTCATTATGTGAGCTGCTTGTGGATCTTAATTTTTCTGGTTCAACAAGCGCTCGGACCTGTTGAACCCACAACGCCTGTGCACTCCATTGCGACTGTGTACACCATGGGAGTGTGAACCGTGGCGCCTGTGTATACCACATGGCATGTGTGCACCACAAAGCTTGTGAACGGTTTTTTCCTGTGCGGAGTGTAAACCACGCACCGTGGGGGCGCGCGGGGCGGCGGCAGCCTAGGGAATACAGGAAGCAGGAGCTCCCTGCACAGGCACAAGGCCCTTGAGACATGGGTCGACGGCTGGAGCGTGTACGCGGGTGCGTCGTCGTCGTCGCCGTCAGTTGCGGCGGCGACGGCGGCGGCGACGGCGACGGCGGCGGCGGCGGAGGGACCAGAGGAAGATGATCCCCCTCCTCCTCCGATCCCCCTCCGATCCTCCATCCCCCTCCTCCTCCTCCTCCTCTTCTGCCCCCTCCTCCTCCTCATGCCCGTCCTCCGATCCCCCATCACCTCCTCCTCCGATCCTGTTCCAACACTCCTCGTCCTCCTCGTCCTCCTCATCCTCCTCCTCCTCCTCCCTCTGCCTCGCTCCCCCCTCCCCCCAGGAGATGAGAGGAGGTGGAGGGCACGAGCACTGGAGGGAGTGCAGAAGCAAGACAAAGGAGGTGGAGGGGCCAGGCCGGAACCCGTTGAAAGGTTCGCGCCGAGGGATGCGAACCTCGAACCTCGAGGATCGAGGCATCCTGGCCCTCGAGGGCCTTCGTCGTCGCCGCGGCTGGACGCGGCTCGGGAAACTGGTGCGTCTGAGCCCCAGTCGGGCCCCGTGGACCCATTTTGAGTTTGCGCCAAGGTTCGAACCTCGAACCTCGAACCTCGAACCTGAGCACACATGTGAGCGTCACAGCATGCCTGCCTGGACGGAGGGGGGGTCCGCACCCCCGTCCCCGTACGCTCGTTACCGTTACGGGGGGGGGAACCCCCCCCCGTAACGGGCGTTACGGGTCCGAGCAATAAAAAAACAAGCTCGAGCAGGTTGTCAGGAGGTCTCGCGCGGGAAGCTTGGCTCCTGGGCGTCGAGAGCGCAGCTCCCTGGTGGGTTGCGCCGAGGGCCCGGGCGGGAGCGCGAGTCCGTAGCTTGCGAGCAGTCTCGAGCGAGAGCGAACCTTTTGAATAAGCGCCGAGAGAGGAAGTATCCGGCGGGAGCCGTTGTTGTTATTGTAGTCAGGGAGGCCAGGGGCACAGTTTGAGAACGAAGACCTTCACGCATAAAGAAACAGGGTGCGAGCCCCAATGGGGGGCATTCCAATCAAACACAATGCGCGCTGGACAGGAGGGATCAACAACTACTAATATGATTCAGAAATCAAGAGCTCAACATTATCATCACCATCATCATCATCATCATCATCATCATCATCATCAGCAGCAGCAGCAGCATCCTCCTCCTCCTCATCATCATCATCATCAGCATCATCATCATCATCATCATCATCATCTATTCCTCCTCATCCTCATCCTCATCCTCATCAGCATCATCATCCTCATCATCATCATCCTCCTCCTCCTGCTCCTCCTCATCATCATCATCATCAGCAGCAGCAGCATCGTCATCATCATCACCATCACCACCACCACCCTTACCGATGCAATCCTCATTGTATGATTGCTCCACCTGCTCATGCTCCTCCCTCCTTCACTCATCGTTCTCCTCAATATTGTCCACGTCGTCTTCATCATCCTCCTCATCCTGCTCCTCCGTATCCTCATCATTCCGCTCCCTCCGTGACCTTCTCACGTTGGCAAGTGTTGTAATCGGCCTCCTGCTCCTAATCCTCCTCGTCCTCATGTTCTGCACTTCTCAGCATCCACAAGTCCCCAAGCAATCCCCATCAATGTTGAAATAACTCACATTGTCTGCGTCGGAATACTCGTGAAAGTCGAAATACAGTGGGGCGCCCCAGAATACTCGCCTGGGCGACAGAGTGGGAGACAGCGCAACAGGCAAGACTGAAAGCTCCGCTTCGCCCATGACCACAAGCGTCATTCCGAGCAACGGGAAGGTCAAGAGGGGGGGCAAAGCAGGCAGAGGAAAGGAGAGGCAGAGAGATAGAGAGGGAGAGACAAGCACGGAGAGAGAGAGAGAGACCGAGGCAGAAAGCGAGATAGACATGAAGGCGAGAGAGAGAGAGGGAGCAAGGGAAGGGAAAGAGGGAGGAGAGAGGGAGAAGAGGAGAGGGGGACGGAGCGGGACAGAAGACGGCGAGGTCGAGGGGCGGCGGCGCGGAATCGCCACGGGCAGAGAGGCCTAGGCGCCGAGGCGCCGAGGCAAACGGAAGCGAGCGGGAAGCGGGAGAGGCCAAGGCGGAGGCGGGGCAGCACAGACGAACGAGCGAACGAACGAACGTCACAACGTTTTATCCTCCTCCTCCTCCTCCTCCTCCTCCTCCTCCTCCGCCTCCTCCTCCTCCTCCGCCCACCTCCGCCGTCCTCCGCCCTCCTCCATCCTCCTCCGCGCTCCTCCTCCTCCTCCTCCTCCTCCTCCCCCTCCTCCTCCTCCTCCTCCTCCTCCTCCTCCTCCTCCTCCTCCTCCTCCTCCTCCTCCTCCTTCCCCCTCCCCCTCCTCCTCCGTCCCCCCCGCCGTCCTCTGCGCTTCCCGCTGCGGACAGCCGTCCGGGCCTGCCCGAGGCCTGGTGGGAGAGGCCGCGGCCTCCTGAAGCGTGCGCTGTTGAAAAAACCAGGCGGCCGTGCACGTGCACGACGGGACAATAATGCGGGTGGATCGCGGGTGGCTCGCGGGTGGATCGCGGGTGGGTCGCGGGCCGGGTCGCGGGTGGGTCGCGGGTGGGTCGAGGGTGGGGCGAAGGCGGATCACGGGGTGGGTCACGGGTGGATCGCGGGTGGGTCGCGGGGTGGATCGCTGGTGGGTCGCGGATCGGTCGCGGATTGGTGGCGGGCTGAGTCGCAGGTGGATCGCGGGCGGGGTCGCAGTTGGGTCGCGGGTGGGTCGCGGGTGGGCCGCGAGTGGGTCGCGGGTGGGTCGCAGGCCAGGTCGCGTGCGGGACGACGACAAATAAAAACAAATAACAAACAACAAGCAACAAGCAACAGGCAACAATCAGCAAACAACAAACAATGAACGACAACCAACAAACAACAAGCAGCAACAACAAAAACAACAACAACAACAACAACAACAACAACAACAACAACACCAACAACAACAACAACAACAACAACAACAACAACAACCACAACCACAACAACAACAACAACCACGACCACAACCACAACCACAACCCCAACCACAACAACAACCGCAACAACAACAAGCAAGCAAGCAAGCAAACAAACGAATACACAAACAAACAAACAAGCTAACAAACAACCGACAACCAATAAGCAACAACAACAGCCACAGCAACAACCAATAACAGCAAACCACAAGCAACAAACAACAAGCATCAACAAACAAACAAAAAACAATAAACCTCAAACAATAACAAAACAAAGACACAAAGCACAACTACAACTACAACAACAACAACAACAATAACAACAACCACAGCAGCAACAACAACCACAGCAATAACAACAACGACATAATCATCAGCAGCGGCAAGAACAACAAACAAACAGCAATAGCAGCAACAGCAGCAGCATCAACAACAGCAGCAACAAAAACAACAGCAGCAACAGCAACAGCAACAGCAACAACAACAACAATCCTCACTGCGGAACCTCATTCCAGCCACGCGCCCAGGGACAGTGAATGACCATTCGGTCCCCACACTCTGACTCTCGTTCTCTGTCGTCATAGTAACTCTCGTACTATGAAAAGTAATGCGAATACTGGTAGTTTCACGTGGGAACCCAGTAGTGGTAATAGTAACAGTCGTGATAGTAGTGGCTATACTGGTTGTGGTCGTCACGGTAATAGTACTAGTAGCCCTGGTAACAATAAACTGCACAATGCTAAGAATAATAATAATAATACAGGTAACGATACGGGAGCTGGCCGGAAGCCTGTCGATAGCCTATCGGTGGCACGTCGCATACATGGCGGAAGCCCCTCGGTAGCATCTCGGACACCTCTCAGGATATTTGAAGGATCCTTTAAAAATCCCTGAAAGATCTCTTAAGGATCCTCTGAGGAGTCCGCAAGGATCTTTTCTGAGCATCTCATAAGGATATTATTACAAACTCATAAGGATATCGGAAGGAGGTATCCCTCAAAGAAATATCAAGTTGGTTGGGATTGGCACCAAAAGTGGTTGATATTTCGGAAGTATGCCTAGAATCCGTTCAAGTGGAATATATGTTCTCCCATTCCTGGGTCCAACCCCATCCACCCCCCTTGCGCGAGAATGGAAAGCAAAAGTCTGTGCAAGCGGGGGAGATCCAGTTCGCCAGGTGTTTGGGACGCTGGCGGCGGGTGCTGGCTCTCGCACCCACGCGCCTGCGAAACGCGCGGACTCAGAGAGGTGGGGGAGCTGGACCAAGGGGGGGAAGACGCCGATCGAGCATAGAGAGAGGCCCCCGACTGCAAAAAATCTAGCTCCTGGGCGGGGTGGAGCCCTGCCTGGGCCTCCCGGGGGGGCGGCCTCCAGGGCCCCCGAGGATCCAGGGCGAAGGCGGGGCCCCCGGGGAGGGGCAGAAAGCCGGCTGCATCGAGTCGGCAAGTCGGATCGAATCGGAGCGCGCGCCGGGTCGGGCCGCTTTGGCACGGAGGCGGGATCGACTCGGGTCACCGGGTCGAGCCCGCCTGGGCGCACAAGCAGCGCTGCGCAGGCATCGGGCCGCCTCGGTTCGCCGGAATGTCGGGGTCGACCCCGGAATCGAGCCGGGATCGGCACCGAATCAGGCCGATCGGATCGAAACGGACGCTGAGGCGTCGAGGGCCGAGAGCTCAGGGCGCGGGGGGGCACAAACAATAGACCACGACTTCTCAGATGCACCACCCCAGTTCCCGCACGCAGGACCAAAACCCACGCAGTTCTGTATACCCTAGCACGCACTGCTCTGCACTGCAACTTGGTGAAGGTGGTAGCTTCGTGCGCGGCTCTTGGGGTCTCTCCTCATCATGATCCGCCTCCTGGCTCCTCCTCCGCCTCCTCCTCCCTCCTCCTCCTGCTCCTCCTCCTCTTCCTCCTCCTCCACCTCCTCCTCCTCCTCCTCCTCCTCCTCCTCCTCCTCCTGCTCACCATCATTATCATCATCATCATCATCATCATCACCACCACCACCACCACCACCATCATCATCATCATCATCATCATCATCATCATCATCATCATCATCCTCATCCTCATCCTCATCCTCATCCTCATCATCCTCATCCTCATCCTCATCCTCATCCTCATCCTCATCCTGGTCCTCCTCCTCCTCCTCATCCTCATCCTCCTCCTCATCCTCCTCATCCTCCTCATCATCATCATCATCCTAACCATCACCATAATCATCATCATCAGCAGCATCAGCATCAGCATCAGCGAGAGCATCATCAGCAACAGCAGAATCATGAGCATCATCATAATCCGAACCATCCCCATCATCATCATCATCATTATCATCATCATCATCATCATCAGCAGCAGCAGCAGCAGCATCAGCATCAGCAGGAGCAGCATCAGCAGAAGCATCAGCATCAGCGCCACCATCATCATCATCATCATCATCATCATCATCATCATCATAAGCATCAGCAGCAGCATCATAAGCATCATGATCAGCATCACCATCACCATCACCATCGTCATCAGCATCATCAGCATCATCATCATCATCATCATCATCATCATCATCATCATCATCATCATCATCATCATCGCAATCATCATCAGCATCATCATTATCATCAACGAGGTCATCATTATCATCATTATCATCCTCGTCACACTCGTCGTACTCATTATCGTAATCATAGTCATCACCACCATAATCATCATCAACATCATCAGCATCATCATCACCATCAACGTCATCATCATCATCATTATCATCATCATCATCAGCAGCATCATCGTCATCAGCACCGTCATTATCATCATCATCAGCAGCAGCAGCATCAGCAGAAGCAGCATCGTGATCATGTTCAGCATCATCATTATCATCATCATCAACTTGGCTAGCATCATCATCATTCTGAGCAGAAGCAGCATCACGATCATCAGCATCAGCATCATTATCATAACCAGCAGCATCAGAATCATCCTTAACGTCATCAGCAGCGGCAGCATCAGCATCATCATCTTCGACATCCTCATAACCATGGATAAGATTAACATCATCAGAAGAAAAATATTCAGAATCATCATCCTAGCCATCATCATTATCATCATCACTAGCAGCAGCAGCATCATCATCAGCATCATCATCCACATCATCATCAACAACATCATGATCGTCGTCGTCATCCTCATCATCATCGTCGTCATCAGCATTAACATCCTTACCAACGCTAAAATCATAGTGATCGTCATCATCATCATCATCATCATCATCATCATCATCATCACCATTAGTAGCAGTACCATCATCATCAGCAGCAGCAGCACCATCGTTATCATCAATGCTCGTCCGTCCCCTTCTCGTCGTCCTTCCTTCTTCCTCATTCTTCTCTCCTTCCCCGTTCCTCCTTCCTGCTCCTTCTCATCCTCCTCCTAGTGCTCCTAGTCCTCCTTGTCCTGCTCTTCCTCCTCCTCCTCCTCCTCCTCCTCCTCCTCCTCCTTCTCCCCCTGCTCCTCCTCGCTGCTCCTCCTCGCGCTCCTTCTAGGGAAACAAACAATGACATAAACATAAAAACTCAGAGGTCCGCGAGGACTTCACGGATTGTCACTGGACCCCCCTCCCTGGCGCGCGGAGCGCGCCAGGGGCGGTGTCGGAGGCGCCGCCAGGGGGCCCCAGCGCCGATCCGAGAAATCCGTGCGGACCCTCGAGCTTGTATGTGTGTGTGTGACAATGCTCGTTCCCCTTCCCTCATCCTCGGTCGAGAGGCTCGGGGCCACGCACTGAGAGAACCAAGGCGCACATGAAGAGCCGCGGCGAGCGGTGCCGCTGCCTGCCGCCGATGAGGCTGCCGGTGAGCACTCTGGCCGCGTAC